GGGGAGGTCCCGGATGGCGGAGAGGGAGACCCAGAGGGGAGGAAAAAAAAACCCAAAGTCATTCTGTCGTAGGTAAAAGGATTAAAATCTTTATTTACACTTTTCGCTTCTTAATGAGTGGGATCTAACAATTTAAAAGCCAGCGCTACTCAGCACTTCAAAGCAAACTTCAGTAAAACGCGAAAATAACCAAAGTTACCAACTTGACACACTCTCCCTCGTAACAGTACAACGTTCGTGTCCAACTCCCAGAGCTAGACACACAGCCAACAAGGACTCAAAAGTTACATTAAGCAGGGGGGTGAGATTTAATAAATACTAAAACACAGACACTTCACATGGGGAACTCCAAAAAAACAGAGAAGGCCTAAGAAGCCCATCGAAATTTCCTTCATCTTTGCTGAGAGGCTGCAGTTTGCAGGCAGGCAGTTGCACCACATGTAAGATTGTGGAAGGGGAACAGGTACATGGACCCACCTGCCAGCACAGGACAGCCATTCCCCCCACTTCAAGCAAGGAGTCCTTGCCAACCAACATAAATCAAGTCAGGCATCAGGGACCAGTCTGCAAAAAACTTAACCACATCAGTTACATGATATTGTGCTTGTTGCTGAAAGTTAAGGGAGGGGAAGTTTTCCTTAAACTTCCACAAGCAAGGCCCCTTAACTCAAAGTGTTTCCTTTTCCTCTTTGTCCCCCTCAGTGAAATGCCATTCCCAAGTCCACGAGGATTGCTATGTAACCAGCCCATCTCCTGATATGTCATTAAGACTGTCTACCATAGTTCCCCACCTCCTCACCTCTAGGAGGACCCAGCTGTAGATACTGGCTCCATGTACAGCCACTATCTCCTCTCTAAAAGTATGAAGGTGGCCAGAGTGTTAAGACCACAAAAACATCATCAAGAACAGGGCCCAACTAAAAGAGGGAAGTGAGTAGAGGAAATGCCATCCTTTCCTTTCTATGTCAAAGCTATTCTTAGTCTAGAACAAGACCAGTTACACAAGAAATTAAAGAGGTAAAAGCGTGAGGACAATAATCTTAAATCCCATGGTCTGATGCTTGTAAGATAGTCATTCTTCCCTCAGCCAACATCTCATCATAACTAAGGAGGGAACCAAAAACCGCAACAGGGAGAGCCAATATGGGGCATCGGTCTGTGCACACCCTCTGCTTTCACAGCGCCATTCAGCAGCCAGAGCTTTTTGGACAACACAGAAGTTCAGTAACCCAAAGTAAAGCTAAATGAGCGACAGCTCTTCCCGCCCACCAGGCGCTTGCTGTTCTGCTTAGAAGAGGTTTCAGACTCTTGCAACTTGGCATTTCCTAAGGGCTGGTCCTTCATGAGGGTCTGGGCAAGTCGGGCTGCTTTAAGTTCCCTGCAGGGGGGGAAGACGGAAGGAAGGAGAGGAAGAAAACCCAATCAGCTACAACAGCAAGCTCTGAACAATCTCACACAAGAAGCTTACTGCAGTACTCCAGCATCACTGGAGAGCGGTGACTTTTCATCCCAAAGGTGACTTGATTACTGTAGGTTTCTCTAGAGTTTCTACTTAAGAACAGATCAGCTTTGAAGGTTTACCAAAAGAAAACTACTCATTAAGTCAGCAACACACTGGCACCAGCATGAAAAGTCCCTAGCTCAGTCTTTCTCCTGTTGTTTCAGATATTCGCGAATGGTGAAACTTAGATTAGTGCCATCTCGTGCGGCACGAACACCTAATAAAGGCACCTGCTTCTTTCCCATTGCCTTTTTTCCCTAGTGCTTGCTGCTCTCCCAGAGCTCATGCTGTCCTGTCTACATGGAAAACCTAATTTGCCAGCTGACTATTGCACCAAGATGGGTGCTGGGGCAGTTCCGGGATCCCAGCACCTCAAAATGTTACTGCCAACAGCAGTGAGAGAGAGCAAAGAGAAGAGGACGTCTGCCACCATCTGATACTTCTCTTCCATCTGTGCTAGACCACTATCTCAGTGCAGTATCAGTTCTTCACCTGCCTGCTGGCTGCCTATTGTATCAGTATTTTCCATCACCAGTGGTTGCAGTAAGCATGCGAGTTCACTGCTCTAATTTAGCCAGCTCCTCAAAGCCAGAAGTGAACCACTGCTGCTTGAGCATCACAAGTCCCTGCTACAGCCCCATCACCCTCCCAGCTCCAGGTACAGGAGCTGACCAGGTGTTTCTGCACATTGGGTCTCCCAACACTACGGCCCTACATTTAAGCCCAGTGACCAACACTTGTTGCGACCACGTCTTCGCCCCTTCATGCCCAAGCCAGCCCTACCTTTCCAGCATGGCAGTCTTGCACTTCTCCACATTTAGCTGCTTCTGGAGCTGCATGGCTTTTCCACGTGAGGGACAGAGAACTGGATGTTTAGTAAGAGCTGTGGCAGAAGGCCTTTCCGCTGGGTCAGGATGGATCATAAGCTAGAAGGCAAAGGAGTTCAGGGTTTACACTCCCTCTGTCACACGCCAACTGGAAAACCCTCCATCCTGTCAAGACTACTTCCTCACCTTGAGGAGTTCAAGAAAGCAATGAGGAAGCTTCTGGGGGATCGATGGGATGTTGCCTTTGCGGATGTGGTGCCACATGGCCCCATTGTGAGGCAGCGGTGCCGCGCCAGCTGCTAGAGCTACTGTGAGTGCCAGGGCAAAGATGTCTGCCTTCGGCAAATAGCAGTATTGCTGTGCAGGGAAGATAAACAGTTATAGAAAGGAAAAATCTTGCTGTACTGAACAACAGTGGGTTAGGACACGAGCTCAAAGAGAAACAGCCAGACAGGTGTATGTATGACACTGCCTTCACCATCCCAGTTAGCTGTTTTCTCCTCTTTAGGATAAAAACACTGGTAGCAGGTAGTATTGGTTATTACTAGGACATTGGCTTTCACCCAGTCATGAGCGGCTTTCAGCCCACGTTAAGAGTCTCCACGGCAAATCCAGAGGACAGCCTAACAAACGCGTGCCTCCAGCCTTCACCACAAGGCAGTAAGCCAGCCATGCCCAACTCAAACTAAAGACTTCATGTGATACGTTGAGCTAATAGTTCCTGAATTGACTCGTGGCACAAAAAGATACTGTCACTTAAATACCCAAGTTGATGAACACATTGAAGCTGGTTGTTGCATACTGATTCCCTTTTTTGTTCACTGTCCAGACTGAAAGAACTGCAGTCAGTTTAAGAGGTGCGTTGTGTCTCCCACCTTTCCACACTACCTGAGATCAGCGCTCGTTATACAAGGCATTTGTCTGGGTGCACATATTCCTCAGTAATCACATCCAGCAGTTTAATCTCAGTTGTGCGTGTAAATGATAACCTGATAAAGATTTTGTCCCATTCATCCCGTGCAGGTAGAGTAGTTGTAATAATCTGATGATAAAGTTACTTATGAAGTATGTTCAATATTTACAAGAGTCACACCTATACTGTTCTTAATAAAGTGTTAATTTTGCTGATCACAGCCAGACCAGACACAAGAAAGGGGAGATAAGGCAAGGATCATGCCAGACTAATGATTTCACTACAGCTGATCTCCCCCCACTTGCTCACTGCCCTGTTCTCCCCACTAGCAGCTGTACCTCTTGCAAAATCTCGTTGGCCAAAAACCGTCTGTCTCCTTCCTCCACCTGGGGGTTTGTTATTGATGTCACATGGCCAAGGTCACCTGCAACAAAGATCAAACAACTAAGGGAGCAAACTGATGTAAATCTCCTCCATCAATAAAAGCCTGCATTTCAGACACCAACAGAGCAAATCAGGAAATACTGAGTGAGAGAGCAAGCCGCCTCCTACTCGGGAATCCAGGCTTGGAAACAAGCACAAGAGCTTCCTAGGACATGTCTCCTTAAAGGAATTAATTCTGGTAAGTAGCAGAGGCATTCAGGCCTCTGCTATCAGTTTTGTATGCAAGTCTCATTAGCCAGCAGAACAGAGCAGTATCAAGCAGTGATGAGCAGCCCTAATCTTAAGCCAGTTTTAAGGTGGGCGAAAGCCTACCAATCTTATACACCACGCCAGAAGAAAATTCATCTTCACTGTCACTGTCGTCCTGCCCAGCAGGGCTCGCAACTGCCAGCTGGTGACATATGAAGATATTACCTGCAAGACAGTGAAGTTCAGCAATAGTGTGATATCAGTAGCCAGACTGCAGCAGCCTGACAACTTTGTAAAAATCCCACCTGTCAGGCTAGCTAAGATTTGCAGCCAGAGAAACTATGCACATGCTTCCCACCCATTAGTCTGCTTTCTGCCAAGCTCATGTAATCAGCAATACAGCTTACAGAAGACAGTTGTATCTTGTGCATGAAATATTCTAGTGCAATCAACGTTTCTGCCACTCCCTCTGCTCCCAAAGCTAGAAGCGTGGCTTCAGTAGGAAAAAGGAGCTCTGCTGGAAGGACGTAACTATGTGACCGTGGGGGAGAGTCTTGCCCTGGAGGTGCCCATCCTCAGCTGCAGAGAGGAAAGCTTGTTCCTATTTTTTGCAGGAACTTAATCCCTCAGGGTAGGTACAATAAATATTAACTTCTCACTCCAGCTCTCACATACAAAGGTCAAGTGTTGTGCAGCAAGACAGCAGCAAATAAGGAAGTCCCTGTTTTCATTAGCAGCCCTACTTGCTCCACCTGTATGAAAGTGATTCCCATGAGCCAGGATAATGAAGATTACGAGACAGGAGCAAAATGCTGCCAACTATCAGAGAAGGGTCAATTTTAAAGCAGCAGTAATGACAAGATTGAAAAAACCCGGACCCACAAGACATTCACCTTTTAGAGCAAGACCCTCTTTCATTTGAAGCACTGTAATAGGTCCAGTCAGAAGGACCTATTACAGGTCCTACCCCTGGAGGGTCACTTGAAGGACCCTCCACAAAGGAGGCAAGCACTGTACTTACTAGGTTTGATATCCAGGTGCACAAGGCCAGAGTTGTGAATATATTTTAGCCCCATGGAGACTTGTAACAATATTTCTTTCAGCTCTGCTTCTAGGAAGTACTGGCCAAGCTTTGCATTTTCCAGCAGCACGTCTTGGAGACTCCCACCTAGATGAAAACAGTCAGTCTGAGACCTGACAAATTTCATGGAATAGCGTGTTTGAAATAGCTTAGTAGAAACTATTGCCCAGAGCACTTGCAGGCTTGCTGGTGACAAACCCCCACCAGACCAACTATATATGCTCTAGTGATCCAACTTGGCTATCACCATTTGGCTTCAGCCTTTCCATTGCCTCAGAGCATCCAGTCTCCTGCTTGCCAAGGACTGAGCAACTGCAGTTCTACCTACAGCACCAGGAGGGCTGACCTGGTAGTGATGCTGCTACTGCAAGGGAACAGTGGAAATTTAATTACTTCTGCCATGCATACAGGCAGAAAGCAGGTGTATGAACAGTATAGCAAGGAAATAAAGCTCCCTCTAGCAGATTTCTGGTTGAAGAATGTAACATTTGGCACAAACAGTTTTGTGGGTCCCCATTAAGGCTTTCTGGCTATTTCAGGACTAGCAAGTATCATGGCCTCTCTCCCCATGAGCCTGCTTTTTCACCACTTCTCCTTTAGTCTCAGATGTTCACCCATGAGAACACAAGAAATGAATCAATGTTGATCACCACATTCCGTGGTTACCTCCACCAGATTTGAGGTCATTACTCCAAACACGTATCACCAAAGACTACAGGAGCAGTTGAAAGACGAGACCTACATATTTACTTTCAGCTCCTCTGATAACAAGAGGTGTCTTTTCCAACATCTCCCAAACAGTGGTACAGCCAAGGGCAAACTCAAGTAAGAGTGTACCACCCTGCCCGCACCACCCCTTTTACAGTTTACCTCACTACTTAGCTCTGTTCCTCTGCAGCTGTTGAGTCCGTTTTTCTAGCCAAGATGCAAGGTGCCTTCATCTCAACCAGGTAGCCACTGTTCGAATCATTACTCTTCTTCATTAAGAAGTGTTTGTTTCCAAGAGACATGGTGTTTAAGCTAGCTGCTCGAGTCACTTATATCAGGTTCTACCTGGGCAGTCCCAGACACAGCTCTAAGCACCGGCATGGGGGATACTTTCCAGGCCAGCCAATGCAGAGGAGCAGTTTTAAAAATCCCACAAATTTGAGAGTATTCACTATTTGTAAGACGTTGGCACCATTCAGAGCTTTGTCTAAATATTATGAGCCCTTACTGGATTCTCCATGGAGTGGCAGCCCCAGTGCAGTTTACTTTGTTATTAGCCAAAATGTCACATTTAAGTACAAAAGAAGGTGACTGCACCCATCCTGAGATCTCAGCCCTTAACAGTGTCACAGCTCTTACCATTGCAGTGTTCGTTTTGGATAATCATGTGATCGTCCTCTGCCCACGCCGAGTAGTAGCGCACAACATGGGGATGGTGTCCAAGGACAGCGTGAGCATAAACCTCACGCAGTGCCAGCTGCCTAGAGAAGCACAAATGGAAAAAGCAGTGGTGACAGGGTCGTGCCTGGGACCCTGAGAGGAGCCCTGTTTTACAGCGTGGCTTGAGAGGGGGAATGCAGAGGTATGTAGGATTCTCTCTTGGGTTTTGGCAGATGGATTGGCTCTCACAGCTGCTGAGGCAAAACCTGCCTTTGCTCAAATGTGCTGAGCAGCTGTCAAAAAAAAATAATCACTGAGCAAGTCTTTTGTCAAAAAGGGAAAGTCAGCTTCAAAGACCTCGCTTTAGCATGCAGGACAACACTAGTGGTCAATACAGATGTGAGCAGTGCTGGACATACGTACCACAAATGAACTATTTCACAGTTATTATTTTAAAGAGACTGGCTGCGTGGACCCAAGGAGTTCAGGTAAGCTGCCATCTCACTTGGCAATGCATGTGGCTTCTTCCCTTTCTCACACATTTATATCCAATAGTCCTGAAGTGACAGCTTCCCCCACTCTCCCAACTGTTACTTGGGAGTGCAACAGCAGCCAGTGGTTGCTCATGCCACCCCTCAGACACCTTTCGAGCCACATTCCCTCCTTCCCCATCACACCTCCCAAGAACATGCCCACCATTTCAACTGGCAGTTTCTAGCTAGCACACTCACTCATCCGAGGATCCTGCCAGAGGCCTTTTGGAGCGTTTGATGGCATAAACACATCCATCAAGGCGTTTGATGCACTTGTAGACAGAGCCAAATTCCCCCACACCAATTGTTTCTAGTTCCAGGAACTCCTTCTTGTAGCGGGAAACCATATTGCTCTCTTTCAGAGGGTATCTCTACAAGGTCACAAAAACAGCAAAGACAAGAAAGACTTAGATAATAACAACCTTTTTTTTTTTTTAAGAGCTCTGTAGCACTTGCTCTCACAGAGCACCTGTGTTTCTCCCTCTCCCATTCTGGTTGTTCATCCAGGCCTGCCTGCAGGTGCACTGCCAGTTCTTGAAACACTACCTTTCACTTAGGCATGTTGTGGGGTTTTTTCTGACCACCTAAAAAAGGCCATCTTGGCCTGCTTTGGCCGAGGGGTTTTTTTGTGCATTTATTTTTGTGTTAGGTTTTGTTGTTTTGTTTTTCTTTTTTAAAATCATTACTTGCTAGTCATAGAGATAGAAATTGCAGTTAAGGAGAACTGTAGTCTAGTTGGCTGTGCGTGCCTAAGCCTCCCTGGGCTACTACCATCACATCTCTTGCCTGAGCAGCCCTGCCCAGTTCCTAGACCCATGGCTGATGGAGTCAGTCAGGGGTGAACAGCAGGCAACAACAAAATACTTGGCTTTTGCCCAGCTACTGCAGACTCAAGAAGACCCATTGCCAGCCTTGGTAGGTAGAAGTCCAGTGCCTCTGAATTACCCAGACTCATGTACTGAACTTTTATTTAAATAAGAACTATTGCCTATTTTGAGCTCAGGAGAGAAGCTTGGTGTGTTGGTTTAACATGGCCCCAGCTATGCAAGATCTGGCAGCTAAGGTTGCCTGCAGCAAGAACATTCTGCATCAGTTCAGGCTCTCATCAGGTTTGAAGCACCAGCTGTTGCCTAATGGCAGATTAGCAGGTCTCAGTGTATCGGTTTGTTTTCTCAGTGATTTCTCACTGGGAGCCACTTTTTCAAAGGGCTGAAAGCCTGCAGAACAGCTGGAACATCATTATTGCTACAGTTATAGTCACTAGGGAAACAGGAGCTGCTGGCACTGCTTGTAGAGTGATGTCTACTGGCAGGGGAGGTAAGCAAAGAAGAGATAAGCAGTGGAGCATGACGTGAACAACAAGAGAGTGGAATAAGTGATTTTTCTTCATCCTCCTGCGTCCCTTACAGGGACCATGGCTCGTGTTGCACAGTGGTTTCCACAGAAACCACTGCTGTGATTGCTGCAATGTAGGGCATAGGACCTTAAAGGGTAGGGGTAAAGAGTTGGTCCTCACAGCCCGTAAGATGTGGCCAATATGAAGCAGCAGCCCTTCACAACAGGTTGTATGTCATAAAGGCAGCTGTATTTTACAGTATGTTAAAAAGCTCAGGGAATAAAGATACCTCCCTAGTACACAATTTTATCTCTATTACATGCTCAATCTAATCAGCACTCGAGCAGAATAATATTTCAGTAAGCCACAAGTTTTTTGAGGCTTTCTTCTGAGGAAAACAATAGTTGTGGTAGTCATGGATGTTACCTGGTAGCAGATTTACTCTGCAGCTGTAGTTTTGCCATCACCAGTTTTTCTGCAATACCAGTCTCCTCGGCTAGAGGGTACCATTATTCTTCCAGTAAGCCTGATTATTTCACAGTTACAATGAACAATTCTATCTACTTGCACGACACAAGAAAATTCCTTCAAGATGCTGCTCAGGAAAATTGGAGTTTTCTACCTCATCCGAATGCAGATATTTAATTCAGGCTTGGCTTGCTTTCCAGAAGCCAGCTGGATGAGTAGCTTCTGCCCAGATGAAACTGGGAAGGAAGAAGATTGCAGGACACTGCAGAAGGTTCCCACACCAGCTGCCCATCTCTGCCAGCACAACTGGGAGTGCCTGAGACCTCACACCCTGCCGCACGCAGCCAGGCCAACACCCCACCACTGAGGTTTGCCAGCAAGGCACAGACATTGGCAACAGCAAGAGAACACAGTTTTGTTGTGTGAGACAGTGTTTGCTTGCCCTGTAGCTCTGTAAGCTGTGGTGGGGGCTTCCCTTGGACCCCAAGGGCACACAGACACCCCCCAGCTGGGCATTCT